ATAAATAGAGTTGATTGTGATACACCTCAAAAAAACAAAGAAACGAAAACAAATTAAACAAACACTGTTCTATTAAACAATCCATGCTAATTATTATGAATTAGGAACTGTAAGTACCATTTGCTTGATTTCCAGCTTGTGTGAACAGATATGCGGCCTAACAATTATGGGGAGATAAATTAGAGCATAAAACTACACTTCTAATCAAATATTTATAAAAGAGCAATGAATTAAGGAGCTATATACCCCTACGGCCTGTGCATGAGCTCTAATCTTACTTATCAGCTCTCTCTTCTCTTCTTCCTTTTTCAAATCCAATGTGTATCTGAACCGACGACACGCATCAAGCACCAACGCTGCTTGCTATAGAAGACAAAATTTCAGTAAGCCAAATCATTCAATGACTCCTACAATCACTTACTCAGGAGAAGCACAACTAATCTACCAAACATATTTAATGTCAAGTACCAAAAAAAAAACCTGCAATAAATTTGCAGATCGATAGTACAAATGAAATATAGAGAAAAATCTACAAACATCAAAACACATTCGCAAAACGTAAATGCCAAGCGAGAAATAAATCACATCGTCGTCTTTTAAGGCATGAAGGACTTCGAGCATAAAAAATCAAAGGCATAATCAGACTATTTCAGCAGAACATAAGAGATGAGGTTAGGGCAATATTACTCTCCAGCGGCGGAGGCGTTCAATGGAAGCATTCTTAGTCCTGGCGATGCAGAACGGACTCGATGACCTCCCATCGTCCTGGGCATCGGAATACGGCGAGCGACTGGTCCCGGCCTCCAAGTCATGCCGTCGTTTATATGGCGAACCCTTGAATAAACTACTCATCACTGTGTCGCAGGAGAGATGGTACCCTCAGTTTCTATTTTCAGAAAAAGACTAACATCAAACATCCAAAAAATTCTCAACAATTTTGTTCTTCATTCCAAACAACAGAGAGATTTCCAGAGTTCGGCTGTTAATACTGAAAGTACTGTATACTGAAAAACCTTCCAGAGAATTGCACTGCGAAAACCCAGAATTCAATTGTGGTAAACTTCTTTTTTTTT